AACCCTCCTCCACAATGTCACCTTACCGCTGCCCACAGGAAGAAGATGAAGGAAAAGAAAAAGAAAGAGGAAATGGCTGGTCTGGAGCAAATGGGTTCAGGAGCCTAAATGCAGCCTACTTTGCCAGTGCCACTGTCTTATGACATAAACAGGTTCTGTCAAACCCGAGTCAGTAGGGTAACCGATTTCACCAAAGACCGCCTCAGGTATATATTCTAATGCTGATGGTTCTACCACAGTAACATCTCTGTAAGAGTGGTTATTTGGCTTTTTTCTGCTTAGAAATTGTTTTCTACGTCTGCACGTCTTCTGAAAGTGACTTGTAGTTTTTCAGATGTAGCGTTCTTTTGTCATAGCTGAGCACTAATTGTGCCCTTGAGGCACTTTTAATCCATGGTTGCATACGCTGGGAGTGTTTGCAGTTTTGCCTGTACCTTGTGGTTGACTTGTCACATACCCGTACAGTGTTTACTGTGAAGGTTTCTCCTTCTCACCCTCCCCCCTCGCCTGAGGTGAGGTGACCCTCAGTTTAAACCACCACCTGTCAACACTCTCTCTCTGAGAGCAGCTCAATAGTCTTTTGGGACTACAGCTACTTTACTTTACAGCGTTTGTATGTTATAAAGTAGATAGGTTACGTTGTTCTCTTGAGTTAAGATTGTCCATCTCCATTCAGGATTTGTTTGAACCTCTCCTTAGTTTCTGCTTTCAGCACAACTTGCTCCAAAGTCAAGTCATCCTAGAACTGGAATAGATCTGACAAATACATATCACTTGTTCCAACAAACATTCTGTCTCTTATGAATTCTGATTTCAAATCTCGACAGTCACCCTCTTTCACTAATTTGTAGAGATTGTTCATTAATATATCCACAGATTCCACTGGATAATGAAACTTTCTGTTAAACCATGCCCTTTCAAGAATTTGTCTTTGTTCTCACATTGAGGTAGATTTCAAATGTGTTAAAAAGTGTATGGGCCTCCTTTATATTCTAGCAATTTACAGTTTGATCCCATTAGGTCCTATTGAAGCCAATTGTATATTTACCTTTTAAATTTGACATTTAGTATTTAATTTTAAAGAAACTCTGTCCCATAGAACTGTTTTCTCCAAGATGTCCTGTGCTTTGTTTGGCCCATCTCTGATACTAAATGTTTATGGCATTATTATTTCTCTCGTAATTCCCATTATGATGTAATTATTTATTATTCTTCCTTTTAAAAGCTGCTTCAAATCTGGAGTACCTCAGTGGTGTTTGTCATGTGCTGATTTTTACGCTTTATTCTTGCAACATATCAATGCTATTTTAATCTTCTGGTTTTTACACTTTTAATATTGCACTATCTTAATATTGTTTTAATATTCTAGTTAAATCTTAAGTGATTAATTTGAGCATTTAATCTTGCATTAAATTGATGCTGCTCTATTTCTCTGCTGACAAGATTTGACAATTCTTTGCAGTAGAAATGCTGACTGCTTGTCCTTGTTTACAAGTTTTTAAACTCTGTACTGTGGCATTTCTATACTATTTCTTTCCATTAAAGCTTTCAAAGCTGCATTGTGGCACTGCTGCAGTATTCTACTTTTTTAAAAGCTATAAATTCTATTAAAAAGCAAGCTCTATCTTTGCACTGTACATTGGGGGATTTTCTGCTACTTTTGTGACCAAAATGGTACTCCAGTGGGCAAAACAGAGAATTTCCCACATTCTGCAGCCTAGATGAATGTTTCCTGTTTCTTCGTAGGCAAAATGGATGTTTTCAGGGCTGAATACATAGTGAACATTCCTTTTTTTTCCCCAATTTTCATCATGATCCCAATACTGTAGCCTCAGCATTTACTAATTTAATTACCCTTGATCCTGTGCTATAACTGTGCCTCATGATGCCTGCTTGCAATATGATGAACCTTGTTGTGAATGGTAAGTGCTCCTTCTTTCATTGCTGCAGCCTTTCAATGCTAAATTTAAATGATTTTATCCTTGCCTACGGGAATTTTTACTTCACTCATGGAGCTGCAAACAGTCATTTCCCAGCCAAACCCAGTACTGGGACTGTCCCCACAGATTGTTCTTCTCTGAGGACTCTATAACTGCCAAGTGTGAATACCTTCTTTACTGTCTGATGTCCTGCTGCTCCTTCCATGAGATCTGTTTGTCTGTTCAAGCACTTACTGCTACTGGCTGTCCACCTGAGTATTCTTAAGGCAGTGATGTAATTAAAATGGCAAAGTCATTTGACTTCTGACTTTTTTTTTTACTCCTTAGTCTAATGGGTTATTCCACCATTGTTACATGAAGGTATTTGAGCGATGATCCTATCAGTAACTGCCATGTTATATCTGTTGTGGAGCCAATTACTACCAGCTAATGATTGCGGTAGAGTGCTGCCATCAACCCTCCTTTCAACTTATTTCAGGCATATAATTGTGGCCAAACTGAACCTTGGGGTGGGAGCATGAAACAGGCATTAACTGATCAACTGTCTATTATTGATATTTTCTAATTCACCTGGAGAGAGATGTTATTATGCACCTTTGGAGGAGGTGAGAATTGAAATTAAGCCTTCTGATTTCATCTGTGCACACTACCACTGCACTATATAGCGGGTGAATCATGTAAGTCATAACAAGAAGTAGGACCTGTTTTAACAACAAGATGTAATTAATTGTGTGATACCAATAAGCACAAGTCACATTGGCTAGTTAGACATAAATACTGACACTATCAGGAGCCAAGAATGAAATTGCCAGCATCAACCATAAATATGACTATGAACCTCGCAATAATTTCTGGTTTCTGTGTATGCGCATTTAAGGGTGTAATTTTTTTATGTTAATGTAAAAAGAAGGTCGTGTCAGTGATTCTCTGCTCCTCCACTGTTGTTGCATCCACACATGGACATCTTTTGAAATTACTTTTACACTATCAGTCTCACCACAAAACCACAAAAGGTTATGTCTTGTTCAACCGTGTGTAAGTAGGAGTGCGTTGAGTAACAAATTCATAATTACTGCTGAAAAGTCTTCATGTGATTAAATTTGGATTCATTCATTTGCACCAGTCAATTATAAAGGGCAGACTTTTATCGGTTAAATAAAACAAAGAACTGCAGATGCTAGAAATCTGAAACAAAAACAGAAATTGCTGGAGACACTCAGCAGGTTTGACAGTATCTGTTGAGAGAAAGCAGAGTTAATGTTTCGAGTTCAGGGACTCTTCCTCAGACCCCATTAGGTGAGATTTCTGGCAGAATTGGACAACTGTGCCTTTTAGTATCTTCTCTGAAGGCCTGTTACAAGCTGCATTGGAATATCTAGGGGAGATTATTGCCTCAGAATCTACCAGCCCAGTAGAATCTGTTCACCCACAGATATCTGGGTCAGAGTGCCACTGTATATAATTAATGCAGTAGATCTTAACAGCCTATCCATTTCTTTCCAAGTGGTAAAGCATTGAAAAAAAAACTTAATGAGTTGTGAACAACTGGAAGCAATCTCTTTAATCTCTGAAACAGGATGCTGAATCCACATGTTGGAGTAACATTGATTCATTTTACATCCTCTTGCACTTTGGACTCTGCATTCCAGATGAGGTTGTGTCTCTGGTCATTGTTTTGGTATGTACTACATCAATTCCAGAAAACAGATTATTGTAAAGATTGCATTCCAAATCCACATTCCGCAATTTTATTAGTAATCACATTGACTGAAAGAGTGAATAATTGCATCATCTTTTCAGACGTATTTCAGTAGTTGAACTTCGGGAACTTTTGGCATTTTTTAAAATGTGATTGCCAAAATATTTTCAGCAGTATTTTCTTTCTTATTTAATTAATATAAGCAAGTGTGGAATAGTTGGTTGATCATTGAATATTTTGTGATTCATAGCCTCATCATTATTATAATCATACAGTTAGAGAAAAAAAGAAAATTGTATTATTTTTGGAACCAAAAGTTCTAAAGAACAAGGTTTAAAGCAAGAGATAGTAGGAACTGCAGATGCTGGAGAATCTGAGATAACAAGGTGTAGAGCTGGATGAACACAGCAGGCCAAGCAGGATCATAGGAGCAGGAAAACTGACGTTTCGGGCCTAGACCCTTCTTGCTTTCCTGCTCCTATGATGCTGTTTGGCCTGCTGTGTTCATCCAGCTCTACACCTTGTTATCTAAGATTTAAAGCAAACAAGGTTTTAAAGAATCTGGAACTGCAACTGCGAACATCTTTCATCTGATCCTCCATATACATTCCAGAGGATGCCTGCTGTAATTGAGTACAGCTTGTTTTTTGTAGGATATCTGAAGTAAATTGGAATGGCTGAGCAATGTCCTTTATATCTTTGCAGAAGTGCACATTCTACTCGTATATTTAAGAAGCTGTAGTTGCAATATTAAGTGAGACAATTGAAGAATAAATATACACCAGAGGGGACAAAATTTAAATTTTAAAGAATTAATTTTCAAAATTAAGGGTAATCTATTATATATCCCTTTAATATATTGCATTACAATTAATATATTAATTATTATACATCAACATATTACATTTTTTGCTGATCCACAACTTCTGTAACTGTCCTAGTTTGCCACTAGAAGGATCAGCAATGAAGCTTCAGCTTTGTTATAGTCCCTACCAATGGGCTTACACACTGTCCCCCATTCTGAATTGTCCACACTTCTCAACAATACTAATGTAGTTGGGAAAGTAAGTTATAGGCAGGGCAAGAAGAGGTTGTCAAGAATCTAGTCTTATGTTTGAGTGACCTTTGAGGCAGACCCAAATATTTGTCTCCCTCCATCCTGCTGGTCTCTCTCCTAGACAGAGGCTTCAATGGTTTCCTGTATCAGTGAAACATTGCAGTTACCAGGATGATAAATCCTGAATAGCCGTCCCAAAGTTAACCCTTTTGTTTAGTTGCAAATAGAACTAGTTACTTTTTTTGATGCATCAGAAAACAGCAGTGGACTTGTATTATTATTCTATTTTCCTCCTATCCCTTAGGTCTTAAATGAATCCATTCCAACCTTGATTACACAGCTGAAAGAACCTCTTTATAGTGAATACATCATAAATATGTTGGTGGACCTTGCGGCTTTCAATCAATCTATCCTAGATAATTCCATTGAAAATCTGAAGGAAATTGCTGAAAATTACCCAAATCTGTTGGGCCAAATTGCCAAGATTTTTGGGATCATCGGCTGTATTAATGAGGTAAATCCACATAAAAAAATCGTATTTTTCTTTTAGTAGTGTACAGTTTGATTCTGTCCAATTTATTTATTAATAGAAATTGTGGAAGTTAGGATTAATAATTTGTTAGTCTGTTTAATCTACATGACATACATGTTTAAAGGTACCAATACTTGCATTCTGCTCCATCAACAAAATTCACTATGTACTGAATTTCAGATATTCAACCTTCAGAGTATCAAGATAATGTGCCAGTGATATTTAATAGTCATCATAGAATAGTCATAATAGTCATAATGTTGCTTAGAATTTTAGAAAGTCTATTTTAAATTAGGTAATTCTGAAGAATTTGTTTTAACCAAATTCAATATTTAAATTGAATTTTGGGTTAAGCCTGCCCTTTATATAACATATTACTACAGTACAATAGCTTTAAATACATAAGCTAGGGGTAGTTTCTTATTCTCATAACAAATGATAGATGAGTTCCTGTTGACTATGTTTGGACCCATTCTGTGCTCTACCCAAAATTGGATTATGATCTTATACAAATATACCATGTCTTAAGAATTATATCCATTATTTTAGCTATTTGGGGAAAAGAACCTGAATACCAGAAAGCTGTTTTTAAAAAAAGGAAACATTTGTTCAGTGTACCAAATTGTAACAGGTTTGTGGAAGAATATTGTAAGCAGCATGGAAAAGTTAAATATCTATATTAAATGAAACTTGAAAGATCATGAACAATAGCTACTAATGAAATCAGCTATTTAAATCAGTCCAACAATCAGAACCAAAGTAGGATGACTTGCAGATTTCATTTATGGCTCATAGGAATTACAAAACATTTTTACTTTATATTCCTTTACCAATTAACTTGAAGAATATCAATACTATGGAATTGAATTTTTTTTTTAAAAAATCATGTAGTATTGGTGTCAAATTCGTATGATCAGATATAGGTTAGAAGAGCAGTGATGGACCTGGTTGACAATGTCTTGATGATATATACTTAAGTTTCAACAGGGCTTTTTTTTTAATATACAAGCAATAGTCTGCCGGTCAGAAAAGCATCAAAGAGAAAACAAAGCATTGTGAGGAACAGAAAATTATTTGAAGTAGAGAAAGTAAGATACGGTTGTGAATGTGCAGTTGCAGTGACATGGCAATGTTCCACAGGCACTGGAGCCATTGCTGTTTATAGTGTGTGTTTAAATGATTTGAAACTGAACACAGAAGTAAAGCAGACTTTGCAAGTGAAACCGAGTTGGTGGGTGTGTGGAATTTCAAATTACAAGGATGAGGCAAACAAATACGAAGGATCCAATTAGGAAAAGTCAGGCCTTGCTATAAAGCCTCAGGCCAGCTTAAGAAGGAAGACTATTTGCTGTATGAAGCAATAGAAAGGGCATATGAGAGCAGGAAAATTTACTTTAATAAAATACAAAAATCAACCAATATACAATAGCAAGACATCAGTGGTATCTGGGAGCAAAGTCAGAGTTGTAAAATTTAATGCATGACCTCTTTTCAACCCAACCACAAGAAGCAATGCATATCTCAACCTGGCAATGATAAAATACTGAACAAATATGCATGCAGTGCAAATCATAGCACCCTTGAGGAATGTCAACTATGAAATCATAAAGTTTAATGTGATCTAATAGTCAAATATTCCCACGGCAAGGAGGTAAGCACATACATGAAAAGGCAAAAATGTATTACATTTGAGGAAACAGATTGAAAGTGGTTGTTGAATAACAAGTCAGAAGAAGACAAATGAAATACGTTTGTCATTATAATGTTGAGCATACAGAATAAACGCTTTCCCAAAACCAAGAACTTCAGACTAAACAAAGGTAACCCTAAGTGGATTAATAAACAAATTAATAGTAAAATAGGAAGGAAGAAGAGCCTGGAGAAAAGCTTGGCAGAGAGGCTTAGGCCTACAGGGATAAATGTGTGAAAATACTGAAACATATTCAGAGTAGTCAGAGGACCGAAGAAAGAAAAGAGTATAGGTGAGGCTAACCCTAAGAGTAAAATGAAAATGACTATCATATTTAACATACATACATGACAGGACAAATGTTATAATTTGTTACAAGGTTTTACGTTCTTCCACATTTAAATCATGAAAATTTTGATGGATTAGAAACCTTACTTAAAAGGTTTTCTTGAAACATAGTTATGGACCAACAAAAAAAAATGAATTGATGTATGTAGTAAATCAGTTATTATTGGGTTCATTAAATATAAGTAAAATCTTTAACATTTTTGTTACATTCTACACTTACGGTTGTACAGATGTAATTTAAATCTTTTCTATGATCCATTGGCAATATTGTCTAAATATGGAATAAGCCATTCTGTGCTTATGACTCTATTACATGTTTTATGCTATTAGGTCTAATAGCATAATTCATTTACAATGACTGTTTCATACGATGATTATTCTGTGCAGAAAACGAACTGCCAAAATACAGAAAAATAGTTTGTTGTATGAAATTGGCTTCCTAGAATTCTGTAGATGAAACACAATCTTGCTCTGATTTAAGACAGGAACGTTGTTGAGGCCACCTGGCCTCTGTCCAGCTTGTGGTGTTTTCATGTTCCCCTCTCAAGAATATAATCTGCGGCAGTGTCTTTTGATCAAGATTCATACCATTTAAGGATATTTTATGTGTTGAAAGCTAATGCAGCTTTGAGTAGTTTCCTATTAAGCCTACTGTTACTGTCAATAATCCAATTTACATTCATGTGTTAGAAAACATTTTTGTAATGAGGTTAATATTTCCAAATCTCAGCATTTGTAGTGTGTCTAAGATTTCTGTATGAGTAATCTTCTAATTGAAACTGATGCATCATCATTCTGTATATATTTTATAACTAACAATGCTGAACTGTTGCTGAATCAGCTTCCACTTGTAAATTGTAGGCAATCAGCCCAATCTCTTCACCATTTCACTGGCTTGATCTCTGAAATGTCTCTGTCGTTTTAGGCTGTTTGTTCAGCAACCAAACTGGAATGTACTGTAATTTCCTCAAGTTCAGAATTGCATCGACTTAGCCACTAATTTTGACCCTTGCTGCAAATCCAGCTTCCTTACCATTGATTCCAGTTTATTCCCTAGCAACAGCCTTGTGCTGAACTAGACTGCTCAGAGCCTCAAAGTCTTATTCAACCCTCAGATCACATTTTGACTCAATATTCTTTTCCTCGCAAAGACTGCTCACTTCTACCTTATTACATTGTCTGTGTCCAGATATCCCTCAACTTACCTAATATTGAAACCTTCTTTATGAGCTGTAGTTTCATCATCAAGGTGGGTAGTGGGAGTTGAGAAATTTCCCAGTTCAGCCCAAATTCTTCAGGTAAAATTGTCAACAAATGTGAGTTTTTGTTCTGGAAGCAGGGGTGCAAACAATAAGGGTCAGACCTACTGTCCTCATAAAGAGTTTAGAGGCAGCCATGGGGGCTGCTGAGGGCTAAAAATGGATCTTCTGGAACATGGTCCCAGTTGTATTAATGCAAACAAAGCAAATGTCATCTGAACAATCTTCCCTTCTGACCATCTTGTTGTATGAGGCTGACTGCACAATTGCTTACAACCATGGGTAACTTTGCTGCAGCCATCCCTTTTTGGAGTAGTAATTTACAAAGTGTGCTTGGTCTGCAATAGTAGAGGAAAACCAATCGGTAGTCCAGTGAGAAGAGGCATTTCTGCCCACATTAAGATGCAGTCTGTTGCTGGATTCAATGGAAATGATTACACTTAATTCTTGCTGTACTAACGAGAAAGGAACTATTTGTATGGTGAGACATTGGTGAGAGGTTAATGTTTTACATCCCTTAAATGTTTAAATAAGAACTTAGGAACTGAAGTAGGCCAATCAGCCCTGAGAACCTGTTCCACCAGTAATTTGAGATCATGGTTGATATGTGGCATAAATCCATATACCTGCCTTTGGCCCATATCCCTTATTACCTTTGCTTAATGAAACTTTATCAATCTCAGACTTAACATTAACAACTGATCCAGCATCCACTGCCATTTATGGAAGAGAGTTCCAAACATCTATCACCCTCTGTGTGTAGAACAGCTTTATAACATCGCTCTTGAATCCTCTGCCACTAATTCTAAGACAATGCCTCCTAGTTCTAGAATTGACAATCAGTGGAATAAGTTTATCATTATCTACCCTGTCTTTTTCTGTTAATATCTTGAGCTCTTTGATCAGATCAACCCTTAATATTCTCAATTCCATAGAAAATAGGCTTAATTTTTATAATCTTTCTGCATAACTTAACCCCTGAAGTCCAGGTATCATTCTTGTAAACCTACGTTGTACTGTCTCCAAGGCCAATACATCCTTCCTAAGGTGTGGTGCCGAAATCTGCTCACAGCACTCCAAGTGTGGTCTAACCAGGTCCTTGTATAACTGCAGTATAACTTGTGTATTCTTATAGTCCAATCCTCCAGACATAAAGGCCAACATCCGTTAGCTTTCTTGATTATTTTCAGCACCTGTTCATGACATTTTAAAGATCTATGCACCTGAACCCCGAACGCTGTTTGGACATCCGCCATATTTAAGTATATACCAATAGAAAGTACATGTCAGGGAGGGGTACAATTACCTGGGTTCATTGTAATAGGAGGAAGTCACACCACTTTGAAAAAGGTCTTCTAATTTGACCTGATTTGATCAGGGACAAGAAGGTATGACTATGAATGGGGCACGTCGGGGGACCCAGAGGGCATGAGTGCATGATTGTCGTGCTCTGCAATTGTCCAGTGGACTTGAGGTTCTTAGATTGTTTACATTAGACTGGAAGCTGCAGGGTGGATCAGCAAACTGACCATAGCACAGCAATGCACAAAGCTATTCAAGTGGGGGAAGTAATCAGGAATTTTTTTGCCGTTGTTCTAGTCGTAGGTGGTATTATAGTGTGGGGGATAGACACCATTCTCTAGAGCAAAGAGCAATGTTGCTTGCCTAGTGCAAAGGGTCAGGAC